CTGAACTTAATGTCCTTATAAAGACAAGAAGAAGTGAACTAAATAATAATAAAATTCAGTTTTGATAGCTGTTTTCCGCCATAACGTGCAATATTCATTCTACTAATTTTAAAATCTTCTGATTTTGTTTTCATATTCAACCCACAGTGTCTTTAAGGCTATATTCACACTATAAGGTCGATCACGGTTCGTTCGCGGTCAGATCTCGGTCTGGTAAAATATTATCAAATTTGTGCATTCATACTGTCCGTAACAGTCAAGTTCCGGTCGAATCCCATTCCAGTCGCGATCAGTTTTGAAAAAATTTTGTTTGTGCGAGATTGAACTTGTCACAACATGTATCGATAGTATGAATGCTCTTTTGTTCCCGGTTCAGTCAGCTATTACTCGTTGAAGCGACAATTGCATCAAATTGTAATTAATGTACATTTGACAGATTCTATTAAACTTCTATTGAGTAATTGAATAAATTTATTGTTTAAGTTAATTCTAAGTACTAACGATGTCTAAACCAAAGTGGACTTTTGAAAAAGGTAATTTATGCGTAAATAATTGACTTTTAAAATAATATTTATAAGTAATAAACAAGTAGCATAAACAGTAATAGTATTAGTATTATTATTATTAATTATGAGCCAAATACATCCGACTTCGATTATTGACAGTTCAAGGTTGAATGGTAAACTGGGTCAGATTGTCTAATACAGACATGATTAAATTTTACCAGACCGAGATCGGGCCGCGAACGAACCGTAATCGCATGAATCCAGCCTAAAGGGTATGTCATCATCATAAGGTCGTCAGTCCTAAGACTGGTTACACATAGACCTCCACTCTTCCCTTCCATCCTGAGCTAAACTTCGCATTTCCCTAAAACTAGAACAACGCACATCCTTAACTATTTGCGAACAGTAATCTAATCTAGGTCTATCTCTACTCCTCCTAACTCCTGTTTCTGCCTCTAATATGTCTCTGACTAGACCTTCATGCCTGAGAAGGTGTCCTACCAACCTATCTCGCCTATTTTTTTATTGTCTTCCGTAGAGTCCTCTGTTCTCCTATTCTTTCTAATACCTCTTCATTTCTAACTTTTTCTATCCACGTTATCCTCATCATTCGCCTATAACACATTTCATTTAATAATATATGTATTTTTATCTATTTTACAAGCGACCCTGTAATTGGTATGACACATCCATTAGAAAAAAGATTATTAGTTATTATTACAGTATTTCAAAGGTTTTCTGAGGTTTATTTTTCATAATAATAATAATAATTATTAATGGCTTCAGTGTTCTCAGTATACAGTTCCTTGTTTACTCTAATTAGTTCCTAATTCAATTAAAACGTAAAATTATTATTGAATATATAAGTACGTAATTATTCTTAACGTAGACTCTTATACGTTACACTGTTTTTCACAACTGCGCTCCAATCAAGGTCACAATTTCAACATTTAACGTTAGAATGAATGAAATTGGTAGCATTGAGGTCACTAGTACGATCTACTTTTGCTATTTGTATACAGGGACCTTAACCTTGACAGGTCAATTTTGTGTTTGTTGCTTATTATGTCAGAGCATATGTATATTAACAAAAGGTGTGCAACGGTCAGTAAACATTATTTATGGAGTATGTACATAATAAAATTACAAAACCGGACTGTTTCGTAACTAGAGCATAGTAAACGTTTACTTAGTGTTCTTGTTTTAGAATTACAGACGAATTTTTAGCTCTTTATAACAAAAAAAATGTTCTCATAACTACATTACTTAACCTTTTAGAGATAAAGGTTATTTAGAGGGGTAGAGGGTTAAAAACTACAAAATATCTAATTCTTATGTGACACGGAGAAAACAAAATTTGGTAATTTTTTACATTAGTTGACATTGGAATTGAGACATGAAGTTTAGTCAGGTAGGTAGTACTCACCAAGTAAAGTAGTGTAGTAGTATTTACTAGAATTTTGTTTACTATTTGTTTAAAAATCAATGTGATTGAGATACAGGCTCTTAAATTTTTCTTAATCGGAGGAAATTCCAGTAGGTACGGCCCTGGCTTCAGCCCACCGTCAGCTGTTCCCGCCAAACATCGTTTGTCCTAAAACATATCTTCCTAACATTATTCTAATGTATCAGCCCGCCTTCGGCGGCCAGGGACATTATAGGTACTCAAGTCTGTCATACATCTACCTAACTAAACAATGACATCATCAATGCATATTTGGTGAGAGCAACTGACGAAGGGCTGCAGCCAGGGCCGTACCAACCGGAATTTCCTCCAATTAAGAAAACTTTAGGAGTCTGTATCTCAAGCTACATTGGTTTTCGCATGGAATTAATACTACCAAACGATTCTACATGGTGAATACTACCTACCTAACTAATCTTCATGTCTCAATTCCAATATCAACTAATGTAAAAAATAACCCAAATTTTTTATGGCAAAGCGAAAATTACAATTTTCGATTGTAAATGACTCAATTTGCCGTTAAAATTTTAAGAATAAGAAAAGAATTAATTAGGTAATTTGTAATAATCTCAATTTTGCCACGCTTTTTTAAAAATTATTTCAAGTTCCTTAATTATTACAATTGAATTTGTAATATATCAACTAAAATACTTGGGTTTGAGTTCAAATTGTAATTTGTGTTATTTTCGCTTATGGAGCAACGGGCTAGTGGGATATCGCTTTAATATTTAGGTAAATTTTCCTTTTTCATTTCTTCGTGCATGAGAACAAAAACTGCACTAAAACGGATTTAAAAAAAGGCCGATCCAGTAGAAGGTACAGCAATAAGATTTTCTATGCAACACAGTAATTATTATCTACCTTTTTCTTGAAAATTAGACCCTACTTTAAGTCATGCTACTTAGTATGTTCATGTAAATTTCAGTATTTGTATTTTTTTAACACCAAATTCAACGTTGAAGGGCAGAACATGCTTCAAAATACAAACCTGTAGGTACAATATATAAGATATTAATTTACTTTTTTTCCTGTAGATAATTCCATGACCATCAGCCCATACAGTTAATAACTCGATAAACCCAGTCGGACCTTACAGGAGATACTCCCTAAAATATAACACAGGGTTTGTGTACTAACCGATCATTGAAATCTCCTGGCAATTGTACATTGTGGAACCATAATATGTCGTATATTCAATGACCAAAGAGTATGGAACCACCAGCATTGTAATATAAAGCATATAGTATAGTTCTGTGTTCAATTTCTTCCTCTTTATTGTATAACACAATCGGAGCTGACCAGTGATAACAAAAATTATTAAAGCAAAACCAACACCGACTTTTCGCGTCTAATTTAATGCTTTTTCTTTGCTGCAAGTGTAACGGTGTTAAGAAATGATACAAACCGTCGAGGGCTGTAATGCATGAGTCCCCCAAAAGAAACTTAATATCCCAAAAACACATATATATAAACAAAATATTAACCATTATAAATAATTAAAAGCGTCTAAAGAAAAAAGAATAAATAATTAAATAGTTAAAATAATTCTAAAAACCACCACGACAGGATAGGACGTAATATAATATAAAAAACGTTAGATCATAGGTTTTTTCTAAAAGCATGTAAATAGTGTATATATTATAGAATTAATTTAGCATAGATAGAGAGATAGTAGCTAGTTAATTTAGTTTTAATATTAGGTAGTTTTTAATTGTGTTTCTATTGTTTTTGAATTTTTTATAGATATCCGTCACGAAGTCTGCTTACTGTATAGACACCAGCCGCTAACCTTTGTACCTAACTACCGTAAAAACTACCCCTCTTTTAGAATGAACAAAAAAAATTTTTTTTGGATTTCTCATTCCCACACGCCTGTAATGCTGGTTGACGGGCAGTCCCTTCGGATTACGCCAGATGGTAGGGCGGAAGGCCCCCTTCAGCCTCCTTTCAGGAATCGTGGGAATGAGTGGGTGACTGTTCGTGTGAGAAAGATGGGTGTTCCTTAGTTACATATTTGGGAAATTCAGTGTTCCTCAGAAATATCTCACGTACAACACGTTGGAAAATATTAATCTACTTATCCTGTCTAAGTGTAATTTCATAATTGGCCACATACAAATAATCCTATTTATACGTTTGAAAATGATCTGAGTTATACCTTTAGATGTTTAACACTATAATCCAAAATTATGCATGCTTTATGTTTTTGTGAAATTTTAGGTTGTTGTGCTTCATTTAGTTCAATTCCACACAACCCCCTTTTTTAATTGTCTTGAAATATTCAATCCACTTTTCGATTTTTCATATTGTACTGCACTTAAAGAAGATGGTGTCTATGAATTGATCTAAAAGGTACATACTTTTATTGTTTTCGTAAAATTATCGATTTGAGGACTTTTTATGCTGGTATGAATGGCAACGATGGATAGGTAGGTACCGAATACTTGTTCATGGTTGCTGCCTAAAAATTGATCATGAGATTCAAAATAATTGAAATTTAGATTATTGAAGCTGCTTCAAAAAACGAGAAACACATAATTCAAAGACCAATCACAGCTTGCTACGCTTCCATAAAAAACAATCGGTAAGAAAGTTTATCGAAAACAACAGGAGAGGGAGACCCTGTCTGTTTAAGGGATCATCCTCTTAATTTAGCCTCAATGCTTTTCTTGTAAACGAAAATAATTTGTAAGTTTATGACAGTTAACGTCCTCCATGTTGACCTTTTATCAATTGTAGCACACATTTCACTGGAAATCATTAAATATGCACTTTTTAATTTTCTTCACGCACATTGGATAACTCTATTTTTTAAATTAGTGCTTTAAATGTTGGTATTTTAGAGCAACAGTAAGCACAAATGTAGCTATTGTTTCGTCAAAATACTTTCACATGATCATGAAAAGTTTGTAAATACAATAACAACATTACTAATTGTTGTGGATAATTTACATTTCAAAATGGATCATTTTGTATTTTACCCCCACTAATTTATACGTATACCTAGAATAAATAATAATCAAAACTAAAACTTTGTCTTATTGTTTTGTAAACATCTATTATAGTTACATCTCTCATGTACATAAATCAGTTACAAAAATACAGCGGACACATTTGTTAATCTGTCATTACTGTAGAAATTATTCTACCACGATCCTGCAGAGTTACTCCATCCGGATCCTCCTCCACTGCCCCATCCAGATGATCCAGAAGAACCAGAACCACCCCAACCAGACGCTCCGGAAGAACCAGAGTTACCCCATCCAGAAGATCCAGAAGAACCAGAACCACCCCAACCAGACGCTACAGAAGAACCAGAGTTATCCCATCCAGAAGATCCAGATGATGCGTGGCCATAAGACGGTGCGTACTGTGCTGAGGAACTTGTTTGCCAAGCGCTTGGTTGAGAGTAGGAGTAACCTTGACTGGGAACGGAGTAGGAATAACTTTGTGTGGGAAGGGAGTAAGAGTAACTTTGTGAAGGAATGGAGTATGAGTAACTTTGTGAAGGAAGGGAGTAGGAGTAACTTTGTGAAGGAAGGGTATAGGAGTAATAGTAACTCTTTGTGGGAACTGTATACGAATATGATTGAACGGGAAGGCTGTATGAGTAACTGTGTGCTGGAGCATATGAATAGCTACTAGCAGGTACACTTGAAGAATATGAGCTATGAGCTGGTGCAGAGTAATGAGCGCTACTAACACTTGGGACTGAATAAGAAGAATATGAACTTTGAGCTGGTGCAGAGTATTGAACGCTACTAACACTTGGGACTGAATAAGAAGAATATGAACTCTGAGCTGGTGCAGAGTAATGAGCGCTACTGACACTCGGAACTGAGTAAGAAGAATATGAACTTTGTGCTGGTGCAGAGTAATGAGCCTTACTGACACTCGGTTCTGAATATAAGACGTAGCTTACAGATGGTGCTGATTCGTAATGTTGTGAGACTGGAGCTGCATGTTCAACAGTCTGGTAACTGCTGACTGGAGCCGAGTAGTCTACCGAGGGTGCAGAATACTCAGCGTGGTGCGGTTTCGGATCTGCTTTGGGGGCAGGGGTGGCCGAAATGAAGGCCACTAATGCCAAAAGAACAACCTGAAATTGCAACAAAATATCTTTTTGTTAAACCCAAACATTCCTTTTTTATGTTTGTGACAGAATAGTTAGTAGAGTATAATTTAAAATATATGGTAACATAATGTAACGAAATGGTATATTTAATATGTATTTATGTAAGAAAAATGACAATAAAAATTTATATAGTGAAAATAAATAACAGTTTTATTAATTTGATATTATTAGGCATTCCAATCCTATTTATCATTTATCATCATTAAATGTTGAATTTTTGCTTTTATTATTATGATTTAATGACAAAATAAATCCATAATGGTAGTATAGTTGGAGATGAAGTAGTTGATTATTCACGCGACCATGGGCACAATTGACCACCATTGCGTTTTTATTTATTTACTTTACATTTGATATAAGCAATAACAATTGGGATGGGGAATGACATCGAAAATCAGTGCGAATCCACTTTTATAATAAAGATTGGTCACTAAAAGCAATCATACCGTTGAAAATTACTGTTTTTTCTATCAACTTTTCGCGCTTGGGGAGGCCCACGCATTTTTTTACAATAGATGCTTTAGGCATAGCAATGAATGTAACAGGGGCAAGTCGTTTCCAAATTTTACCAACGGAAATTGTAGTTTCTTATTAGTACGATCAAAAATGGGCCTTCCTTGCGGCAGACAAGGGCTTTGTCAATTTGTTGGAAAATTTTTTTACTCATTAGGAAAAGAAAGGCAAAACCTAAACAATAAAAAATAAAGGTAGGAACTAAAAGGATGAAATTGGAATTAAAAGTAATGAAATCGAAAACTGATAACCAAGGAATCCCTAAAGATGAAAGTGACTTAAGTCTGAGTGAAAGTGATGACAGTTCTTGGGACGAAACGGAAGAAAGAAGAAGAAAATTCTGAAAAGGAAAATTTATTTTGGTTCAGTTCAAAGAGGGTAAAAAAATGCCACTGGTTTAAAATTTTGGTACATATGTTATCAAACATGATGTTAGTGTTGTGATTAACGTGAATTATGACGATTAGAATTAAGTCTGGATTTATTAAGTTCCACTAAAATACATTTATTTATACTGCTCGAATATATACAACAAATGACAATAACTTTAACACCGAAGAAATACGAAACGCTAAACTGGCAAGGAACGTAGTATGATTGGTATTGCGACGTATATGTTTGGTCGATATAACAAATCAATTATTTTATAGATCATCGAAAGAGAGTTATGGTAAATAAACAATAGGCTACGTTTCCTTGAAAAGAGAAGGACCTATTTGCATTATAAATTGCTCAGTTTTTCCAAAAACAAACAAGAAACTGTTTTCCGTTTTTTATTGTTGGTTTTTTACAATTAGACACATAACACCAACGATATCAACTGCAGCACGTACTTGCATTCTACTACTACAGTAGATACTAGTGACGTCATGCGCTCTCTCCAAGGTCATAGAAACGTTTTGAATCTCTGCACTTTTCAAAACGTTCTAACAACCTCAAAAATGATTTTTTGATCGTAGAAAAAAAAATTATTCGCAATGTCGTAGGCGTAGATTCCAAATATAGAATAAAAAAATTAATATCTCAACCTAAGTATTTAGAAGTGTAGAAAACCTATATACCATGTATTACTAAATATGTAGAGTAACTAAAGTTATTATTATTATTTATTTATTAAAGGTTATGTCCATTTAATACTACATACTAACATGTGCAGCATATAGCAAGCGAAAATGACTGAAAATATAAATTTGGGTTAGATTCCTGATCATTACTTTTAAATTACGTAGTTTTTTCCAGAGTGGAGGTCAAATAATTAAAAAAAATTTTTGTAACGTTTCTGTTTATTCAAGCATCTTCAGACGTTTGAAGTGTTACTGCTTCTACTCAGATATTAACCTAATTTTAAACATTCTTTCAGTTTGAACTACCGCAGTAGCTCAAAAGTCTGAACATGGTTGACTAAAGCGAAACGTTACAACAAATATAAAGTTGTTTAATTATTTGACCGCCACCCTAGAAAATACTACATAATTTAAAATGTATAAATTAATATACTTGAATAAAACCGACCATACCGGTTCTAAAATGGATTTAAAAAAGGGAACGTTAAATTTTACACTATTGATTAATATTTCGAAAAGATAACAAACCTTTACATTTAAAAAAATAAAGTATGTACCTAAATAAGCAGAGAAAAACTAATTATCTATCGAATCTATCAGTTTACTTTTCTATTCATATACATGATGGCAGAAATCTACACAAAAATTCACTCTAATTTCTCTAGTTTATTGATTAGTTTGATTTTTAAATGATTAAAAATAACACTTTTTATTTCATTAATAGTATCTCAAACTTAATTAAAAAATAACTTACCGTACGAATCATTTTCAAAAATAGAGAACTGCAGTAATTAATGAAAACAATTTTAACAGTACTGAGAAGATCGAAAGTTTTTTTGTATTTTATAGATTCTTTTGGCAAAACTAGGTGGGGAACAAATTTGTTATGCAACTTATAACTATGACCTTATAGTAAAATGAAAAATTAAAAATTTATATAAAGTAATAAATATGTAAAGTGACCAGTCAATTACTACTTTTCAATTCAACAATTTAATCGGTGTATAAATTTATAATAGGAAAAGCAAAACAAAGTACAGAAAAAACCCAAAAATCAGAATACAAAAAAATTCCACACACTTGCTCATCCTGTCTTAAAATATTCCATACGAAATGGACATTTGCTATCTATTAAAAATGTCCCATCGTCTAGGAGATTAATACTTTTACATATTCAGTATCATCAATATGTCAATAAATAATTCTATTTTTAGAATGTCGCTATTCAATTATTCAATTTTAACTGTAAATTACAAAATAAATGAAACATTATAACAACTTTTGTATACCTAATACGGTTTGAGGTAAAAAATTGTTTCTTATGGTAGATCAGTATTACTCCACGGTACAGCGGCTTTTCTTCTAAACTATTAATATTAGTCTAAAACTTCGTAAGTGGCTTCATTTTAACGTAATATACAAAAATTCTAGGAAGTCAGATGTTTTCAATCTTTAAACTGGAGAATACATCAATTTAATGATGCGAAAATTAATAAAAAAATTGGCTTACCAAAATTTTCATCCGATTTGTAAGTAAATATGTATTACCATAATCAAATGGTCATACAAGCCTACAATTTTCATGAACAATTTTTGCTAAAGTACTTACATCCTAAGCATTTAAATTCGACAAACGCTGATGTCGTGTTATAACCTGTAAAGACATGTAAAAAAAATACTTTCCTTATATTTTGGAAAAGATTTTTCTAAACTTTAAGAAGAAAATATTTTTTGTTGGCCTTTACCTCGGGATGTTCTTTTTAGAAAATATATGTTTTACGATTCTCATTTAGGTACTAATACCGTTAATATAGCCAATATAGTTCTGCATCGCTTTCCTTTTGGCATGTAAATTGAACGTATAAGTACCTACATGAAAAAACTATTTAACTATTATTTCGTTTAAATAATAAAAAAATCAAAAGCACAAAAGAATTTTTGGTAAACTTTACACTTTATTGTGTAGTAAACAAAATCTCACCGCGGCCAAATAAATTCATTCTCTGTAACAAAAGTCCGAGGTTAAAATTTCCAGGCGCTCCTCAACTTTTTTCAGTTACACAAAGCACACACAATAGGTGGGCTTTTCCCTTATAAAATAATAAAGCAACCTTCAAAAACATTGCAACCTTTAAAAAAAGGGGTCAAAAACTACATTTTCATAATGTATCCATACCATGACTGGCAGCCTAATATGGTGGACTTGGATATTTTGAGAAAATCTTCTATGGGGTACTCTAGGTGTCCACTAAGGAGGAAAATGGTTATTTTCAGCGATGCGGTTCGTTATCGTTTACTTCATATTGATATATGACTACTATTATACTACTACTATATACTATTTATGTAAAATGCGAAAGCAGGTATCTTAAAATTTGCAAAGGAAAGCTAGCAAATTAGAAAATACAATTTTATTTAACGTAACATTGCAACCTAGAAAATAACTTAAGAAACGTCAAAACAAATACAGGCGGCAATTATAAAATAGTATTTCGTATTCTAAATTGGTTCCTATTTCAGAAATGTCTTAAACGATTAGCAAAACTGCTTAGTAGGATATTCTGCAACTGCAAGAACGGTTATAGTTCACGCTATGGATGCCGAAAATCAGGGTTGCAATGTTCGTTAGCTTGTGGCCAATGTAATGGACATGCATGTCTTAACGCTTCATCGTATCAACATGATCTCGATGAAGAAAGAAAAGAATTGCATATGACCCTGAAGTTTTTGAAGGTTTGAAGATAAAAGTCATTGATAATAAAGAGAATGCGATGATAATGACTTTGAAATTGTTGAGCGACCGGAAAAAGAAAAACCTGATTCTCATGACCTTTGAACTTGAATATCTAAGGACGCTTACACGCAACAACCTAATGAGACTTTTGAGACAACATTTAGAATGCCACAATAAATGTTTATTCAGTTTCATTCGCGGTGTATGTATATTCGATTTTCGATTTTTTTTGTGGGGTTATGTTGGTGCTCATGTCTTTCACTTATGCCGACAAGTTCGGCCATGTTGAATGTTCACTTAATTTTTGACAGCTGCTTTGTTTGAACGTGTTTTGACTCGTCTTTGATTTTTGCCTATTCCAAAAAATGGATCAAAGGATCTGTATCAAATTTTGGGTGAAAAACAAAATTAAGTGCGCAGACGCAAACCGAACGTTGACTGTGACATATTGTAAAGCTACCTTGGACCAAAGCAACGTTTATCGGTGGTACAAAATGTTCTCAGAGGGCCGAGAAGATGTGGACGACGAAGAGCGTGTCGGACGCCCGAGTACTTCAACAACAGACGAAAACATTGATGAAGTGAAGAAAATAGTATTGTTCAATTGTCGAATCATCGTTAGAAAAGCTGCTGAGGACGACTGGCTCCTGTTATTCGATTTTTACCAATGATTTGGATATGAGACGGGTCGCCGCGCATTTCGTAACAAAATTGCTCAATTTCCACCAAAAACAACACCACATTAACATTGCTAAGGAGCTATTCGACCTAAATTTAATCGAGAGGGTCATAACTGGCGACGAATCATAGGTTTATGGTTATGACGTGGAAACTAGGGTTTGTCGGTTTTTAAAAACCGGTTTTAAAAACCGTTTTTTTGGAGAAAATTATGAAATTCGAAAACCGGTTTTTTAGTAGAAAATATCGGTTTTCAATGTATGGATAACACTTAAAAAAAATTTGAAAATGACAAATGTAGTCAAATGTACCAGATTGATGAAAACACTGTTGCAAGCGGTTTGTTGTTGGAATCATATCGGTCACAAGCGGTTTGGTGTGTTTTGTCTATTAGATGAATTAATTTAGATTTTATATCAGTTTGTCTTCTGGTTTCTTTATGTACAGTTCATAAATTCAGTGTTCAGTAAATAATTTCAGTCAAAAACTGCTTTTAATCACTCTAAATTTTCTGTTAAAATTTTTTGTTCGAATTACAGAATATTCGAGAAAAAATTTTTTTTATAAAAATTCGAAACCGGTTAAAACCGGTTTTCTGGAAAAATTACTATTCGAAAACCGGTTTTCTAAAATGTCGGCTTTTGTATAAACCCTAGTGGAAACCAAAGCTCAATCTTCCCAATAGAAGCTACCGCATGGGTCAAGACCGAAAAAGCGCGCCAAGTTAGGTCGAATGTGACGGTTCTGCTTACAGATTTCTTCAATCGCAGGGACGTGGTGCAACATGAGTTCTTCCCACAGGGTAGAACGGTCAATAAGGAACATTACCTGCAAGTTATGCGCAATTTGCGCCAATTAATCTACCAGACATTCACGAATTTGTAGAACAGGAATTGCTTTTGCATCATGATAACGATCCTGCTCACACACGGTTGCTTGTGCGGAATTTTTGGACAGAAACAGCACACTAATAATACCGCAACCTTCGTACTCCCTAAATTTGTCCCCCTTTGACTTTTTCTTGTTCCCGAAACTGAAGAGGCCCATGAAAAGATGACGCTACGTTATTATTGAGGAGACAAAGACGGCATCGAAAGACGAGCTGAAGAAGATCACAAAAAATGATATTTTAAAGTGTTTCGAGGATTGGAAAAAACCTTGGCACAAGTGTATCTGGTGGGGATAACTTTGAAGGGAAAAAAATAGATACTCAGGAATAAATAATTTTTGAAAAAACACAAAATTCGCGATACGTTTTGAACAGACCTCCTATGTTTTTCTGTTCAAAACGTTAAAGCTGACTTAAGGGGAGAAATGTGGATAGTGCTCAGGATGGAGTTTTTGCAACACGCTCCAAAAGTTTTGTCGGGCAACCTTTTTATTTCTGTTAAAACAATTTGGACATTCGCTCATTTTCGGAAGGTAGGGCAGTATACAGCAACGCAGACAGCTAGGAAGAACTTAAACTTAGATATACAACATACAAGGTGCTAATCTAATTACTGTTTGAACAGAAGAATTTCCAAATAAAAATAGAAAGCAAAATGATAAGTGGAATTACAATCGTCAAGTATTTAGTTTGTTAATTCTTCATTATAAATTGAAGTTGAGTGAACAAATAATTTGGTAAAAAGAAATAAATAATCGATCTATTGGGATCCGTCAAATGGGAGGAGCCTAAAAACATGGCGCCTATTAGGGAAAATTTATCGTAGTGCCTATAGTGTACCGTGCAATTTCCAAGTTTTTAAATTACGATAAAATGATAAGTATTGACACAATATGTGATTGGGCTGACACAAAGCCTCGGAAAGGAAATTTCGTTGAAGGTGAGCGTGTTTTTAATGCCAATCACATTATAAAATTCGGAAATAACAAATCCGGAAGCTAGCCTTCAAATTCCGTCAAGTTTACTGCCTACTTTTTACAAACTTCGGATTTAAAAAGTGATTCACGTTATATAATTGGTGAGGTGATTCTGGGTGATTTAAGCAATATCATATCAATGACTTGCACGTGCAAAGCCGATTTAAGAGAACGTTGCAAACACATTATTGCAACTTTGTTGTATTGCAGCAGGTAGGTTCTTAACCTCAAAATACTTATATCGTATCATTAGAATTGTGTTAAATCAATTACACAGGAATAAATAATTTCTCACTTTATAATTTTAGTATGATTCTAGTTTTAAATATTAAGGTTATGGCTGATGGTAAATACTTGCTGAAATATAATCATGTGCGTTAAAATGACGTGAACAAATTTTTATTCCGGAATTCATTTCTTTGATACCTACTGCTTTCGTCCAAGCTTTTATTAGTTTACTCTTTTCTCTAATTTTCCCAATATACTTTTTACATATATAAAACGGTTAGTTTTTATTGGAAAGTAGTTAATGTA